CACTTGGTGCAACGCGTATGGATTGAGGAGGAGGTGCCTGCTGAGCTGAAGGATGCCCTTGTGCTACCACTGTACAAGGGCAAAGGTAGCAAGCAATGTTGTACGAATTATCGTGGCATCAACTTGTTGAGTTGTGTGGGCAAGGTGATTGCCCGAATCCTGCTCAACCGCCTTGTCTGTCAGGTAGTGGAACCTAACGTGGCGGAGGAGCAGTGTGGCTTCCGTTCGGGTCGCAGCACTATAGATATGGTGTTTGCGGCTTGTCAGTTGCAAGAGAAGTGCAGAGAACGACACCAGCCATTGTACTCGCTTTATGTTGATTTCACCAAGGCATTTGATACGGTGAACCGCGAGGCATTGTGGCTGGTGTTGGGTAAGTTTGGTCGCCCGCGTAAGTTTGTAAGTTTAATTGAATGTCTGCACAGCGGCATGCGAGCGAGGGTGCAGCTGAGTGGAGAGACCTCGGATGACTTTGAAGTTGTCTCTGGTGTGAAGCAAGGCTGTGTCTTAGCTCCTGCCCTGTTTGATATATCTTCATGCAATGTTGTCCTGTGCTTTTGATGCGGCTTGTGCTTGTGGTGTTCGTGTGGAGCACCGTATTGATGGTGGGTTGCTTAACATCCGTCGTTTCGGTGCGAGAACTCTAGTCTGTGAGACAACTATCCGTATGTTGCTGTTTGCTGACGACTGTGCGCTTTTTGCACACAGCGCGGATGAGTTGCAGCACATGACTAGTGCTCTGGCTTCGACAGCGGCCAAATTCGGGCTCACCATCAACACAAGCGAAACTGTCTAACTCTTTCAGCCTTCTCCTGAAGTGCAATCTTCAATATTGCCGCGAATCAGCATTGATGCTGAAGTATTAGAAACCACCTCCCGCTTTTGCTACCTTGGGAGTGTGATGTCGACTGATCAGCAGCTACACGTTGAGCTGCGTATTCGCGTATCGAAGGCAGCGGGGCATTGGGGAAGCTAGAGTACCGAGTGTGGAACAACCATCAGCTCACCATTGGTACGAAGCTGCTGGTATACAAATCCATGGTGTTGTCCGTTCTTCTATACGGCAGTGAAACGTGGACGATGTACCGTCGAGATGTGCGATATCTCGAGCGGTTCCATCAGCAGTGTCTGCGACGAAGTTTGCGCATCGGTTGGGGCGACAGAGTTGCGGACACGGCAGTGTTGCGCCGAAGTGGGATGTATGCAGTGGACTTCATACTTTTATTGAGACACCTGAGGTGGTTGGGTCATGTGAGCCGTATGGATTCGACGCGAATACCGAAACAACTATTATACGGTCAGCTGAGTATTGCGAAGCGGCATGCTGGGAAACCAAAGTTACGTTACGAGGACATGATTAAAGTGAGCCTCACACATTCCAATCTTGATTGCAGATCATGGGAATCGAAGGCGGTTGATCGGCATGCATGGCGCGATCTGGTCACGAAGGCAGTTGCTCTAGTGCGGGAGAAAGTCCTCATGCATGCAGAGAAGAAGCGGCAAGTGCGGAAGCGGCAAGCATCAATGAATTGTACTACATCGACATCGAGTGCATGGTGCTGTAGCACATGCGGTCACGAGTGCCTGAGTCAGGCAGGCCTAGTGAGCCATGAGCGAGGTCACTCGGGACCACTATTGAAGCGACGACGAGTCCTGCAGAGAACGTTAGCCGAAGGGTCGCAGCGTTTGTAGGTACGCTGCATTCCATTTCCTAACCGCGTGCTTGCATGCTAAGTCTCTTTATTTCAGGTGGTGGGTTTTCAGTTTTCCCTTTAATGCCTTTTTTTCTCATATACATGTCAAGTCTACTCTAGTGAGCCATGAGCGAGGCCACTCGCGACCATTACAGAAGCGACGACCGGTACTGCAGAGAAAGTAGGCAGCACCGACGCAGCGTTTGTAGGTACGCTGCATTCGATTTACTAACCGCATCCTTGCATGCTCAGTCTATTTATTTCAGGTGGTGGGTTTTCAATTTCGCCCTTATGTTTCCCTTTCTCATATACATGTCTACCTGTAATATTTTCCGTTAACTCGCACACCTCGCTTATGCCAACAGCAGTTAATTTCGATAACATTTTCGTGTACGTGAAATTTTTGTAAAGTAAGCTTTCTGACCTCCTGAAGTATTTTAGGATTCGGTAGTAAACATCTAACTTCATATGCTCATTAATTTAAGGTTAATGTCACGATTTTCTTATGATTTACTCGTCTTATTTTACCTGTTATCATTCATTCAAGTGATTGGCTGCTGCTTGATATCCCCGGTGTGACTGCGCTTTATGTGCATGTGGACAAGGTGTCTACCTGTCTATTACCCACTACCTCGTCCATACTGGCTCCAGGAGATAATTGGTCGTTGCTGGAGGGGACGGGGTGCACAATCCTTGTGGTCGTGTTAGGCTCGAAGAGTGGTTCCATGCACTCAGTATGGAGCGGACTACGGTCCAGCCACCGCCTTGTGTGCGCTTGATTCCCAAATACAGTGTGCTTGTGTTTGTCTGTGAAGGAGTGGGCCGGCTCCGTTGATGAAACGTGGTTCCCATCCGCATGCCTCCCGGTCTTATTCCTTCGGGTTTATACTGAATATGGGGTGTGTGGTTGGAGCTGTGGGTGGTGCAGCGCAAGCCACCCATGGTCCCTCTATAGGCGCAGCGTCCTGTGGCTTGCCACAGTGACAGGCAAATGCGAAACCGGATGCCGCCAACCATGTATATATATATATATATATATATATATATATATATACATATACATATACATATACATATACATATACATATACATATACATATACATATACATACCTATATATATATGTATAACAGAGCTCATCCTTGTAGCTCACGACCCAGGGCTGGTCGCACCGAGTTCTTTCAGGTAGTACTCAGCAACGTGCGAATCCAAAAGAAACAAGGTACATGAGGTGCATCTAGTTGTAGACAGATGTCGTTCCGACACACTCGCTTTCACTGAAACGTGGTTGTCTCCGCATATTACGGACGGCCAAGTATGTTTACCTGGCTACGCACTGCTTAGATGTGGTCGCTTTGTTGGCCGTCAAGGCGCGGACATCGCTCTTTATGTAAGCCCTAAACTGGATGTGTTGTGGACCTGTATTTTTCAGTCGCTGGATAAATTGTTAAAGTCCTGTCGACTGGTGTGTGCACTTTCTCTGCCCAGTTTACAATTGCAGTGGTACATTGAAGTTTTGTAAGTACTTCCAAGGTGGTCACAGAGTTTATTCGGACACAAGCTGCTAGTAGCTGTCCAGTACTGCGGGGCCAATTTCCGTGACGTCATACCACGCACTAGGCTCCGATGGCCTGAGCCACGTGTTGCGCATGCCAACACACCGACTTCCGTGTCGTGTCGTGTCGTGAGATCTTTGCGTGTCTCATTGTATTCGTTGCTAGCCGGAATGCGTCGGTGAGCATCCATAAGTTCCGGGGACTGTGTAGAAACCCAATGTCCAGATTAGCGATTTGATTTGCCACATGAAGACATACCTGTTCCTAACGTCTGTCGGTTAGGCGACCAGTGATCTTCAACTGTGTTCAGTGAGCGCTTCCTCAGCTCAGAGGCCAGCGTACTTCGAGGCGCATTTGGAACATTTGACTTCGCCAGTTCGCTAGTATCTACCGCTCGTAGCGCCGTTGCGGACGTCCGCCGAAACGCACCCGCAGGTCGGCGCAAACAAGTGTGTAGTCAGAGTCCACGATCGTATTCCAAATCGAGCCACTGTTTTGAACACAATTTCTCCAGCGGTAACCAATCGCATTGTCATGATGCAACATCCAGGTCTGGTTTTCCCACAGTTCAGATCTCTTCCTGCGCAGAGTATCCATCAAACGCTCCGGATTTTCCTGGTAGACCTCCTTGTTTACCATCTGACCATGTTTTGGAAATTTGAGTCAAAAAGCACAACATCACCTTGATCTTTGAACGACTCATGCGTGCTATTTTGGACGAGAAGACCCTTTCCGCATCCACTGAGAGGACTGCACCTTCGTTTCAACCTCCTGGCCATAAACCCACATCTCACCGCCTGTTATGATGGTAAGAAGTTTCCCTTGTCATCGGCAGTAGCAAGCGGTTCCTGGCGGATTACAACACGGTTCTGTTTCTGATCGTCAGTCAACAAACGCGGCACGCATTTTGCACTGACGCATCTCACGTTTGTCCTCAAAATTTGATGGCATGCTCCTACGTTGATGCTCACTTCGTCAGCAACTTCTCGAACAGTTAAACGACGATTTCCAAATATCACAGCAGGAACTCTCTCGACATAGTCATCGTCTGTTGATGTGGAAGGTCGTCCTGGCTTGGGATCGTCACTGACCGACATTCTGCTGTGCACATAGCAGTTAAACCACCTAGAGCACTGCGTGCGACTTATACGGTTCCCTCTGAGGAAACCATGGACATTGTTGTGTTGTGTTTTATTTTAATATTTCTGTACTTTCGTTTGAATCCCATAGTTTCTGATGGCATTATGTCTATTCGTAGACTTTTGCAGATATATATATATATATATATATACGGTTCCCGTCGTATGCTTGGCTAAGCAGTTGACATGTCAGTAAACGTTTTGCCAATTAGATAGCAAAATTTCACCCGCACATGTTGTTCTTCAAGTTCTTTCATTCTCTTTGTCACTAATTCAGCGAACAGCTTGTGCACGTACCCAATTCAGCGGCTGTAGCTCGCCAACTAACAGAGCGAAAGGCGGCAAATGGAAGCTTGTTTTCTGAGCAAGGCTCCACATACCTTCACTAGATGCAACGCGCTCCCTCTGTCGGTCGGCGCGATATTTCAAAGTTCGGTTTCTTTTTGAACAAATCTCGTATTGCCAGTAGAGGGGACTACTTCGAGTCGGGAAGTGTTTAAAATGTTGTGCAATGACCAATAAAGATGTAGTATAATCTCGGTTTCTTTTTGAATTCACCTCGTTCATCTTCGCTTTCTTTGTTGATCACCATTTTTATCTTTATTTCCGGATGGCCGACAAAAAGTGGTTGGTAAAACTTGCTTATTCGCCTTATATCTTCGTCATATTAATCGTCGTAAACCTATCACTGCAAGCAAATTCCTGCGATCATGTTCAATGAAAATAGTAAAATTCGTGAGTTATAGAGAAAGAATTTTGGGCTATTTCTGTTCGATGGGAAGATTTCGACAGCTTTCCGGCATTAAAAGACGTTTTGAAAAAGATGAAGCACGGCATAGAAATCCCGGAGGATATGTTCAAAAAATTGTGCAGCATTTGGAAGATTTGGTAGTAATCTTTTTTCTATATTACTCCAGTGAAGATGAGCAAAAATTGAAAGTATTTTCCTCGGTCAATTACCCATTTACTTGCATAATAATGCTTCCTCCTTTAACATCTCTTCAGCATGCGAAGTTCATCGACATGCTATCAGATTCTTGCCTTCACGAAGAGTTTCACAAATTGTCGCTGTCTGATTTCTGGTGTAAAATGAAGGACGACTACCCTATAATAGCGAAGACAGCTGTCGCTTTGCTGCTCCAATTTGTCACCACTTATCTGTGTGAAAAAGCATTTTTGCATTACACCTTTGCAAAAGCAAAGTACCGCAATTAATTTGATGCTGAACCCGATATGAGGTTGCAACTTTCCTCAATAACACCAGACATCAAACAAGTCAGCACTGCATGCCATAAACAATTTCATCCCACACATTTTGCACTAATGTACTTCGTTTGTTCTATCTACATTCAACAGCATTCATTTGTTACTAACCTTAATGAACACCAGTCTTCATTCAGTGTACAGCAACAGACATTTCCATGACACTGCGCCTCACTTTTATTTTATTCAATCCTAGTCCGCCGTGCGAGGCTCTACTAAAAAGAGGTCTGCGGACCAAAATGTTTGAGAAACACTAACACAGTGGTTTCAACCTAGGTGCTTCTTGTCTCTCACTTATTCCTCGTTCTGTAGGTCGTCGTGGTTGTACGGCGGCGAATCATCAGTTCAGATGGCCGATGTACTGCTGTTTTTGATGAAAATAATGATGCTAGGAATATATTTTGTTTCTTATTTCAATGTGAAGATTGATCCAACCTGGCATACTCTCGACGTTAATGCGCAGCTAATTATGTTCAGCACCTCTATCTGTTCAATCTTGCTCTGTACAGTAAAATAAGGACCGATACGGTAATTTCTTTCTAAACAATCTTGCGGAAGCTCTGACTCCAGCCCGCAACGGTTTAGTAGGCATCTTCGACAAATACCAACACACGACCACCAACATTTCTAATCATCTACGAACGTGTTGCTGCAGGTTGCGTGACGCTATTTCGTCTGAAGCCTTATCAAGCACTCCTTCAGTATTCCGTTCCAGCGAACATACATCTGCGGTTCCAAGCGCTTTCCTCCTGTTAGAACGTGGGTTTTTGGCCCCTTATCACCCGGTTCGCTTATTGCCCTTATACTACTGACTCCTGGCGCCGTAATATCCACTTTTGGCTCATCGCATTATATCTCCGAACAACCATCACCGGTTGTTTATGAATTAAACAAATTAGCTTCTGCAGTGAAGTGTGCCAGACCACCTCCCCGGATTCATAGCCATCCATATTGATTTGATGAACTTAATCTCTCTCATCGTCTCATTGTCCAAAACCGTTTTCCCCGGTGACGCTCATATCGCCTGTCTGAGCGAAGCCCCTTCGATACGTACGTCTGCATGATTCCACTTATTCATAGTCAGCACCGCTTCTATTCACCTGGCTTTCTTGTGATTTGATTCTACTGAGCTACCCTGATAATTATCGTTTGCTTTCCAGTCTTCCCGAGTATGTTACCCTGGGGTCCATTGGATTACGGTCGGCGTTGTTTTCAGCAGTACTGTATGTGTTTGGCCATTTATATGTGTGAACCATGGGAACAAGTGATGGTGCGTATCCTTTGACCGGCTTTTCTTTCGATTTTTGATTCTTTATGAGCATTTTTCGCCGTGCTTTATTACCCAGATGCTTTGCAGTCGATCCAGAGTTTGCTAAGTCATTGCCTTCTCTTGTTGATCTTATTATCGCCTTTTAACACCATAGGCTTTGTCCTTTGTTTTTGCTTGGTCACTGTTGAGTGAGGCTCCCTGCTAATGGATGACTCTGAAACGAGATTGGTCGGTTGTTTCTCAGAATAATCTCATACGTGTTTCATATTGATCTCGTATCTTAATTAGAACTTTACTTCGACTTACTTCCTTTGAGTTCTTGCGTGCATCACTCTAATCTTAATTTGGCGCGCCGCCAGTCCGCCAAGCTTATCAAGATGCAGTTGGCTTTGGGGAATTGACTTTCGGTTGAACAGGATTTCTGCCACTAGGTGCAGCATAAATTGTCCGCGTGTTCTTAGGGAGGTTTTCCTTGGCATTGGCATTGGCAAGCGGTTCCTGGCGGATTACAACACGGTTCTGTTTCTGATCGTCAGTCAACAAATGCGGCACGCATTTTGCACTGACGTATCTCAAGTTTGTCCTCAAAATTTGATGGCATACTCCTACGTTGATGCTCACTTCGTCAGCAACTTCTTGAACAGTTAAACGACGATTTCCAAATATCACAGCAGGAACTCTCTCGACGTAGTCATCGTCTGTTGATGTGGAAGGTCGTCCTGGCTTGGGATCGTCACTGACCGACATTCTGCTGTGCACATAGCAGTTAAACCACCTAGAGCACTGCGTGCGACTTATACGGTTCCCGTCGTATGCTTGGCTAAGCAGTTGACATGTCAGTAAAAGTTTTGCCAATTAGATAGCAAAATTTCACCCGCACACGTTGTTCTTCAAGTTCTTCCATTCTCTTTGGCATCAGCGCATCAAGGGCTGAATCTTTAAAAGAACTATGGACCTACTCGGATGAAGAAGTGGCATCACTATTGGCAGTGGATTTCCTGTAGGAAGACGGGCTATCCAGTGTAGTCGACTGACAAGGTACGTTGGTGAACCTTAAGGTTCCTTGAACCTGTGGGAACGGCTTTTTCAATCGGTCCATGCTACCTGTTACTGGAAACCACTCATCTGTTAGGCAGTTGCGAACAGTGCTGGAACGCCATTTAGCTCGTTGTTGAAATATTTTCCAACATCGTTCACTTGGTCTGCTTTTCGGCCACTTTTGTACTCGGCTGGTGTAGTTTGAACCATTGTCAAATTTTTCACAGGTCTCACCTGTATTTATTTAACTTCCCGAACGTCATCACGGTCATCAAACACCATTTTTCTCGTGCTGTCCTTATTCATAGATGATGTGTGATCCTCTACAGTGTATCGGCTCACCTTTCTGACTGGTTTGGGAAGGGGAATCCATTCTAGCTTTCATCCGAGCCAACCACAGTAGTATCCACTTGACGCCCGTGATAACAAAGGTAGTGGGCCTATTACGCTACGTACAACGTGAATTCCGAATAAGAGAATTCGTTTTATCTCCTGTACAAACATGTATAGTTCCCGGATTACTCCGTGATGGATGCCACAGCAATGTCACACGTACGGCAGGTCGACAGTAACTGCGTTCATTTCTTGCATGGTGGCGTGCGACTCAGTTAATCTCCGTTTCGTTTGGTGTGCTATTTCGTAGAAGTTTCCTGGCAACTTATGTGGATAGTTTGCGTACCCTGTGCTCGAATGCCACCGCTCTCGTCCGAATTTACAGCGAATTTTCGGAAGCTTCTTCGTTGACCGATGCCGTTCACCAGCGTTGTTCCATCTACGTATCTTTCATTTCATCCCTAACTCTGTCATGAAGTATCGTGTAGTGGAACACTGCGATGCAGGTAATTAGCAATAGCCTAGTGGAAATCCGCTTGATTTGAATTATGCGGACGACCTCGCCCTGCTATTTGCCACTTACGGGACCACATACTCCATCTTCTGTCATTCGGCACGCGGTTGCAGTGGCATCAGTCGACTAATTGTCGTTTAGTCTTGGCAACAGTAAACTTAGGATCAGCCATGGCGGTCCACGGCCGTCACAGGTGGTTCAGTGATTCAGACCACCGATTCTTTGCAAGAATGTTATTCGAACCCAATGGGTTTCAGTTGGAATGCGCCCTGTTGCTGATTCCCAATAAGACAGCGAATCAGCGTCTTTCCGTATATGTGGTAGTGATCGGACTGAATCTAGTTGCGACGAATCTTCTCAATAGCAGGATAGTTGATAAATTCACCTATCTCGGCAGTAGCGGACGTGCGAATATCGGAATTCGTTCACGTACCTCGTGACTAAAACTGTATGAGTCCTCGGCACTTCTTGAGCTAGAAAAGGATTTCTCTTGCACCGTCCAGGGTATATAGGACCACGATGGAAACTGTACTCCTCGATCGCAGACCAGGACTGGTCTGGATCTGAATGATTAAATATCCTCTGGTCTCGGACTGTAGTTTCTTGCGGGGCGCTTCTCGCTTTGGGTTACACTATCGTATGTGCAGGTGAGTACTAGGCGACGATCAATTTCTTACGTTAGCTCAGCAAATCGGATTAAGTGAATTGCGTCGATTCATGTGCGCGTTACCTTTTCCCGTCCATCACTTACTGACGTTATTTTTCGTTGGTTTACTGGAAGCGTGGTGGTGTACTGTTCGTTTGGAGTATTTGTTCACCCAGCACTGTAGTGAATTCTTCGACCACTATGTTGAATGCTGTGGTCTACACTGCGCAATTTGTGCTTGATCCAATGCCTCATGGATTATGGTTTGCAACTAGCACGGGTCGTTGTACAATAGATCGACTTTTTGTTTAGCGTTTTCATGATTCTCAATCATCTGCGGGATAATTTTGCTTGTGACAAAGAAAGCTGAAGAAACCGACTTTCCCTGTTCTTAATTTTCTTCGCCCGATGATCACGCGTTACCGGCAAAACGCAGGTGTCTTGATCCTGAACTTTTACCCGGGATATTTGAGTACTACACTAGTGTCGTGTGGTCGTTGACGAATCGAAACACATTTTACTGTATGAACACATTGAATTAGAGGATTTGGCTTCACTATTTTAAGAACATGTGATACCATAGTGCAGTTCGTGGCCAAAAGTTTAGGACCAACATGCAATGAATTTATATTTACATATTATTAATGACCATTTCATCATATGCTATTTTACGACACACAAAATGCAATCATTGTAATCTGTGACATTAACCTTAGGCTATTAGTTCTATAAACACCAACTGCCGTCTCCTTTCAGCGTTGTTTGCCTGTTTGAAAGGGTCTAATATTCTCGAGCAAATGGGCCAAGATCAGCACTTTCCGCCATTCAAGGAGCTGAACTAGTAACATCAGGCGGAGAAGGATGCATAGAACGTGATATTTCTGTTCGAATCGGTTGTAACAAGACAATGATTCACCATACGATCGTCTAATGTCAGTTGCTTGGTATTTTTCCGATCGGTAGCAAAGTGGACTTCCGCGAAAAGCAACGGCTTTGGAACGGCCGTGTAATCATAGCCATTGTTTTCTGACAGATATGTGCAATTTCAGCCCAGGCATCCACTTACTCTGCGCTAAACAGTGCTCTGACTAAGAAGGACACATCTAAAAAGCAAAACAGCTTTGATTTTCTTAAATGAAGCTGTTGGAGAGCGTGAAACGATGTCTTTGATTGCACGGCCGTTCGTAACCGTTGTTCTTCGCTTTCCCTTAGAAGAAATACTATCCAACTGGTATCGGGTGGTCACATTGTAAACCGCTGTCCTGCTACAGCCGATTCGAACAGAAATACCACGTTCTATGCACCCTTCTCCCCTAATGTTACTAGTTCACCTTCTTGAATGGCGGAAACTGCTGATTTTTGTCCATTTCCTTGTGAATATTAGATCTTTTCAAGTAGGCAAACGAGACTGAAATGGGACGGCAGTTTGTGTTTTTCCAATTTATAGCACAAGCTTAATGTCACAAATTACAATGATTGCCTTTTGTATATCCTAAAATAGCAAATGATGCAATGATCATTAATAATATGTAAATATGAATCCACCGCATCTTGGTCCTAAACATTTCTCCACGGCTGTATATTACAAGCGTGAGTCAAAAAGCAACGTCATCTTCTTTTGGACAGGCATAGTTATGAACACAGGAACATATACATCAAGATGAAGTTATTCCTTTGTGAACCACTTCCCTACTTCTCGACATACTCACCGTTTCTCTCAATAACAATATTCCACCTTCGAATGAAAGCATGTATCCCTGCCTCGTAAAATTCCTTTAGCTGTTCTTTGAGCCACTACTTCACTGCAGTTTTCACTTCTTCGTCACCGGATTAGTATTTTCCTCTCAAACCTTCTTTCATGGGGCCAAAGAGATGATAGTCTGGAGACGCTAACTCTGATACGTATGGAGGATGGGGTATAGTTGTCTACGCTTATACGTTATCGGCGACTACGTTACCAGTTGGCAATTATCGGTGACAACATTACCAGTTGGCACCTCTACCTTTCTTACCAAGAGACACTGTTACCAGGTCGCCGATTACGTAATCCCTCTACTGATACCTTTGTCGGGTGGTTATTACGTCACGATAATTTCCACCCTCGTTTCAGTGCCAGGTAACAACTGTCGCCCTTCCGATAACGAGGAAACCCGTGGTAGAAATACCCGGCTGTAAAAAAAACCGTGTCGATCTACACTGTGATCTTCGTCTTCAGCTGTCTTAGTTGGGTAATAAAGGCTTCACGAAAAGCCATTGTCTTTCTCGGTGTCTGTTTAAGTCTCGGTGAAGTGAGGAAGAACCGCTGGCCGACTGAGTCACTCGGTACACGGGGAGTACAATCCACAAGCGTCGAATCGTTGTTTCGACTAAGAGTGCGGTATCAAAGCAACAGAGTGACAACAAAATAATTTGCTGTATTCTTATAATTCGCTGAACTCGAGTACGAGTCATGACTTCTCACTCACGTAGTTTATCAGCACCAAGTGTGCTTGTTAATGTTCGCAGCGTTGGTTGCTGTCGATATGTGTTAATATGTACACGGCCTGGATAGAGAATATATGGTTTGATCGTCGAAAGTCACAACGCCTAAAGAATACACTCGAAGTCTATTTTCTTTTCATACTGGACCTGATAGAGTGTGCAAGTGCATGTCACTGAGATGTGCATTGTGGTCATTTCCTACCACGATAAACAAGTCCACGATGTCTTTGCTCATTGTTTGTTATATAGTGAATAATCTAGCAAGGGAATGAAAAACGTCATGAACCGTTCGGTCAGTTTTCAAAAGTTTCGGGGGCGCAGCGAAAGATATCGAATGGGTATCCAGCCGAACGGGGATAATCGTGACAGGACAACCAAATTTCTCCAATCAGTCCTCGACTCGATCTCCTACGTTGCATCCTCGAAATTTACCGACAATTGCAGAACGTGTGACTTCTTGATTTTCCCTCCCGGATTTATTGCGGCGGTGCAGTAAGCCAGTTGATGTGGTTTAACAGTTTAACCACTGCTCGTGCATTTTTTCCATTCCGCGGACTCGCTGGTTGGTTTGATTTCGCTCGGTGCTACCTTTCATTATCATTGACCAACTTTATGGTATCTGCTCTCTCTTATTTTTCGAATCGGGTGATGCAGTCTACTGCACGACGTCAGGGCACTCTGTTTTACACCCGCGCCATTCGCGACTGGCTTATGATTATCTCTATTCCGAACGCCGTCCATCTGTTTAGCTTAACAACCCTGGGGCACTGGTCTTCTAAGCGTTTAACTTAGTCATAACGTGATTTTACTCTACTTTCATTACCCACCGCTGTTTTTTTTTAATTCACTGCTGACCTCTATGCATTTTTTGCCTGTTTCTTAATCGCCTCTTCCATGTCACTGCTACTCGCCTAACCATTCCCCATAGATACTATCATGTTGGCCGTTGCTATTGTGATCATCTATTCTGCTATCCTGTTCATTCCAAGCCACACTACTACTTTTATCACTTTCCTGCTCGAATGCCTTCGCTCCTGATCGTCATCTATTTCTCTCTGCGGTGTCACATTCCACAAGTAAAACAAACCCCTTTATCGGATTTCTGCTGGGTCGGTCATCACTGTGAAAATTGTGCTTTGCGTAATGCACACTTGAGTGTCAGTGGAACCAGTTAGTCGTTTGGCTTATGCATTTTTTGCACTTCTCAACATTTCCTCTCCGGACAGATGTACATTCACTCTACTGTTTCACTCTTTCCATTTCGTCTATTAAAGCCATCGTTGTGATGATACACGCTTGTTCATCTGGCTTGATTCATGAATCACTTGCAATGCATAGTTTGTTATCTGCTCCTGGATGTGATGAACTTGAATCGCTTTACAATGGCCAGGAAAAGTGAACCATCCGATCCGCCATCATTTCCTACTCGTCTATGCTTGCAGCGAAATAAGCTAAATCGGCTGCTTTGAAGTAGGCCTCTTGTTTGCATTCTGCATTTGGTAGAACACTTTTTCGGGTTTTGGTGATAACTATAATACCTTTGCCAGCAGTATGAGACAGAACAAGTTCGCAAGGTCTTATCTTCAGTCTGTCAGGCATGGGTACGTTGAGCCGACTTGCCATGATCCTTGCTGCCACGATGTTGACAGTTTTCGACAGAAAAATAATAATCCTCGTGAATGAGATGAAAAAATTCCAGTCTGAATGTGGATGACTTTAAGAGAAGGTGTACTTGAATCACGCGGTTCCTAATTCTTCTTTCAGGGAAGTGCTACACGTATTCCCTACCATCTGCATTTTCTGAGTAACCTTGAAGTCTAAGCCATCTATCTACAGCTTGTGCGTGCTGTTGTGCAACCGAACTCATGCTCCATATTCACACTCGAATTTTCGACTATCTGGATGTTGCTTTATCTTCAGATCTTGCTGTCGCTGCCAGTTAGGCACTACAATTCATCACTAGTTAGCTTTTTATTTTTCTTTACGATGTTGAGGTCATTAGCATCCCAGTACCACAGACATCAAGCAGTGACACTTCTCTCGATTGCTTTGTTAGAGATAGCCTTTTGGTGGACTGGGTGTTCGCTGAGCTCGGCAGGTTGACTGCAAACGTTTCGTCACCACTCGAGGTGACATCGTCAGTGCGCGTGTAATTAGCAGAGTGGCGCGTACGAAGTGTCCGTGAGTGGCATGTCGACGAGTCCTGTGGCAACATCTTAGGCTAAAATGGGTACGATCTAAAGGCTGACGCATTCAACGCTTGCAAAAGTTCCACCTGACCGTACTACATCGTCCACGCGTACTTTACTGGCAGCATTTTCACAAGCAGGTGCAAACGAACAGCATCGTTCATGATCTTCTCGAACACAGATTTGACCAGAATAACTCTGCACAGTCTCTTGATTCTCACCGACACATTCCGGTTGCAAGAGCTTACAACTAGGTTCGCAACAATCTCAGAGAAAATTTGCGTACTACTCTGAAGACTGACCGCGAATCATCGGGATGTCAAAGTGCATTGGAGATATAAACGGTAACTGTTCTACATGACCATCAGGTTTTTCCGTCTTATCTACGAGACGAGTAGCACGCGACCTGTTGTTAACGAACCTATAGTGTTTACGGCCTCTCCGCAACTCTTCAGAACGCTTTGAGCGTTGAGCTGAACTGCTTGAAACGCAATTGAATTGGCTAAATTATTTGCTTTTGCATCGACCAGCGAGCGCCATAGTCCACGAATCACCTTTTTGGGTCCGCTCTCTCACTCAATTGAGCGTTAGACCGGCTTAGCTAGCTACGTCCAATGTTTGAACGCTCATGCAGATTGGTTCATAAGCTGCTCTTGCGCGCACCTTGGAAACCCTATCAATCGACTTTTGCTGCCTAACGGAAACCCGTTTACAATAATCCAGCACAGCGCTGCGATTGCTTTCACCCTCCCCAAGTTCCAGTTGCACATTCACTTTGCGCTTATCTGGAGATGCGACAGCGGCAGCCTCTGGTTGCGCCGGCGTAGGATTTGCGTTAAGCGCGCGTGTTGAGGCAGCGCTCATTGACTGGTTCCCAGTCAACAGCCATCTTTGTGCAGTCCGCTTGGAAAGCTCAGTGCGATCGACTCTTCAACTGTGCACCGACCACGGCTTGTTCCTCTCCAGCACCAATTTCCGACTTTCCTGGCGCCAACGAGCCACCTGGCGACCTCCGGCGCCTGGTCAATCTTGGACGCAAATTGATCACATCGCTGTTAGTTACCGTTGGCGAGGTTGCATAATGGACTGCCAGTCAACTTGGAACACTTACCTGACTTTGGATCATGCGTTCGTGTTTGCTGTTCGTTCTGCGCTTTGGAGGCACCCAACAGCGTCGCCGGAAACGGCTTGAGACAAACAAGCTCGCCGCCCCAAATGTTCTCGCCGCATTTCAGAACACATTAGCTTCCTACCTGCGTTCTCTATCTTCCGATGTTGAGACACACTGGGCACCGATCCAGAGCGCCTTACGAAAGTCCGCTACTCTAGTCTGTGACTTCACTAGACGGGCTGCTATTCATTGGATCTCTGCACAGTCTCTCCAATTAATGGAAAGTCGTCAAACAATTCCCGCTGAAGTTGAGTACAACGTACTACGCAGAACCACAGGTGCTGAGCTCAGACTGCTCCTCAGGAAGGATCGCGAGGTTTGGTGGACACAGCGCGTCGAGATGGAGCGGGCAGTTTCATCAGGAAACTCCTGAAAACTCTTCCAACTTATTCGTTCCACGGGAGGCAGAAGACCAACAGTGAGTGAGATTTTGCGTGAAAATGACGGTGAGCTAATTCACAGTCGTCGGGTACGATAGACAGAGCACTTTGAAGATCAGTTCAACTGGCCATCAGTGCAACCGAGTCTATCTTCTGGGGTTCACAATGCTCCCTGGTGAGTGGATGTTTCTCCACCGACAAAGACAGGTTTCCAATGAGTTTCGCCTACTGAAGCGTCACAAGTCATCTAGCCCAGATGAACTTCCTCCTGCCCTCTTCAAATGTGGTGGTCCTGCTCTCACTCGCGAACTGACATCTCTATTCCATCAGATTTGGACTACTGAAACCCTTCCCTCCGATTGGACTTTAAGGAATGTTGTATCTTTTTACAAACAGGAGACCGGACCATTTGCTCTAACCATCGTGGCATCAGTCTCATTTGTGTCGCATCCAAACTGCTCGCTGCCCTACTCTTACGGAGGCTCAGTTGCCTACGGGAACAGCACCTGCGTGAACAACAAGCTGGATTTCACCCGGGTCGCAGTTGCGTTGATCACATCTTTACGATCTGCCAGATACTTGAACATCTCCATATGTTCAGTCGATCAACTATAGTCATATCCTTGGACATTCGAGCCGCGTTTGACTCTGTTGACAGAGTGGCTCTTTCGGACTGCTTACTGAAGAAGGGAGTACCTGAGAAATACATCAGCATTCCCCTTGTCATTTACCATCAAACTTCGGGCCGCGTGCGACCATACGGAGACATTTCGCCTTCTTTCATTATCACTACCGGTGTTAGACAGGGTTGCCCAGTCCCTCCATTCCTGTTCAACTTCGCTATGGACGAGATCCTGGATGCTGCCATAGATAACTCTGAGTCCTGTGGTGTTGAACTGCTCCCTGGTGACCGCTTTCGGGACTTAGAGTACGATGATGACATCGCTGTGATTTGCGAGTCCTCTAAACCGCCCAACATGTGCTGCTCAGACTGGAGATGTCCGCTTCCCAATTTGGGTTGACCTTTGCTCCTTTCCAAATGTTACAGGACTGTCCAACCGCATGTCCTTCTCTCACCCTTTCAGGGCATCCGCTGGAAGTGGTCGACAAATTCATGTATTTTGGGAGTTGTCCTAGTATTGGCGGTTTGACAGATGAGATTTCTCTGCGTGTCTCCAAGACTAGAGTCGCTTTCGCTAACCTTCCTCACCTGTGGCTTCATCGTGGCCTCAGCCTCGCTCTCAAGGGACGAGTCTATAATGCTGCGGTACGAGCGATTCTGTTGTACGGCTGTGAGACTTGGCCCGTTCGCAAAAGCCATGTTCAGCGGCTATCTGTCTTCGATCACCGCTGTCTGCGATGCATTGCTGGGGTTCGATGGCAGCATCACATCAGTAATGAGGAAGTCCGTCGGCTAATCTTCAGATCAAATGAACTCCGCCGACCGATTGATAGCATCATTTCATTGCGGGGGCTTCGCTAGCTTCGGCATGTGCTCCGCATGCATACCAAGCGACTACCACGACAAGCCCTATTTGCAAACGCAGGCGTGGCTTGGAAGCGACGAAGAGGACAATGTAAAACTTGGATCCAATGCGTTCAGGCGCAAACGTTGAAGCTAGTTGTTGTTGGGCGTTCCCGACTCCCTGGTTGGGGACCAAAGGACCCCGAGCACACCTGGTTGTAAACGCTGGGGGATATGGCCAAGGATGTACGCAATGGCGTACTTGCTGTGAGACTTCTCCCCTAACAGTTGTTTTCCCTTTCACCCTATTTTTTCCTCTTATGTGTTGTGGCACTCAGCCAATTATATTGTAATTGGTGAAGTGTTGAATGAATAAATGAATGAATATATATATATATATATATATATATATATATATATAGACCGGTCTGTTGAAACTGAACTAGGCAGCCCAGCCCTCTACAACTTCGGTGAACAAGCTCTTCTAGGTGGTTTATACTTTCCATTAGGAAAACTGTGGAAACGGAATGATCCTAAACCTCTGGGACTGTTCTGTTATGGTCCAGCTTTTTAAAGGTTTACCTTCGGAATGCAACAGTTTTAGAGGGATCATTCCGATCTCCATCTTTTCATTTGTTCTTTAAGGACTGATCAGTGCCTGTACAAATCGGACTCTCGAAGTGTATACCGAGTTTCGCCGAAATACGCGTCATTGGCCACATGTATGGTCTTTAAACAGTTGTTGAGGCTCCACTACGTATACTGACAACTCACACTAGTCGGATCCCTCGATATCGAAAGCACCTTTGACTTTGTGGATTGATGTGTGGGAC